CGGTTAAGTGACTTAAGTCATATAAGTCGAACGATATAGTCAGGCGTCGTACTAGTCCATCAGTCGGGTGGCTCGCACGATTTAATATTTTATTAACACGATCATATTTTATTAACTTCCCGTAGGGTAAGATATTGTAATCGTCCAAAAAACAAAATTGAAAATTTTTACATTTCTTCACGTTTTGAAGTTTTTTGAACATTTTGCATACCTCAAAAAAATTGATGCGCGTGTATGTATATATGGATACAATTTTTCGTCAACGTTTTCAGGCGCACGGATCAACCGATTTGAATTGTTCACAAAACATTTGATTCCTATTATAAGGGAGATGTGCTGATTAGTTTTTGGCAAAAGCAGGTCCAGCAGTTTCGAAGATACGGGGCAAAGAATGCAGAAAATAGAAATCGAGTTTTTGAGAGAACTGATCATCCGATTTGAATGATCCAAAAAAACAAAAGCAGGTCCACCCGTTTCGGAGATACCGAGCTAAAAATCATCCCATTTGAATGATTCAAAACACTTTCAGCTTGTTTTGACGAAACAATTGCTTTTGGAAAAAGGGTTTTTTTCAATATTTTTTTCCAAATAATTTTTTTTGTATATCGAAAATAATTCGTATTTTAAATTTAACTAGTGGGGCGCATGGCATCGTGCCTTAAGGCAAATTGCTGGAACTTCCCATACAAATATTATTATTTTTTTAAAAACGATTAACATTTTTGAAAAAAATTACTTCGAAAAAATTAGATTTTTGAGAAACTATATTTTCGACAAAAAATTACTTTTTTTTTGAGAAAAAATGTCTTCTTTATTTTGACATATTTTGGAAATTTTGAACTTTTTTTCAAAGCAATCGCATTGCTTCGCATAGAACACGAAACGTCGAAACGTCAAAGCGCGTAAGCGCCGCGTCGCCGTCTAACGGATAAACATTGGTACGAAACCCATAGGAATGTAAACAAAATTTATACTTATTGTTAAAATCTCTATAAAATATCTGATAATTTGATGTGCATATGCCTAATGTTCATTTTTGACCGCCAAATGGCATTTTTTTTACTTTTTTTGTTAGATCTCCGAAACAGCTAGACCTGCCTTCATGAAAATTTGATCAATTCTTCATCTTGTTAATACAAGTAAAATGTTATTTTGAATTATTAAAATCAGACGCTCCGTTCTCTTAAAAACCGAGTTACCATTTTTGGCACTTTTTGCCCCGTATCTTGGGAACAGCTAGACCTGCCTTTGCCAAAAACTAATCAGCACGTCTCCTTATCAATACGAATCGAATGTTTTTTGAATTATTTAAATCGGTTCATCGGTGTTCCCGAAATCGTCGACGAAAATTGTATCCGCACACACATACACACACTCACACATACATCCATTTTTTCTAAGGTATGCTAAAATATTCAGAAACTTTGAAAACGTAAAGATATATAAAAATTTTCATTTTCGATTTTTTTGCGATTACTATAACTTGCACGGGAAGTTAATTATAGCTAAAGTTCTAAAGCTTGCTTATATACTTCAAATAAATAATTTTTACTTTGCAATTCAGTTTATATACTTAATTCTTAAAAATATTAGACAATGTCCTTAATTTTAAATTCGATTATTAATTGAAGTTTTGTTTATTTACTTTTCTGTAAACACATATAAGTTATAGTATTTATAATAATCTATTTGAAAACATTTGAAATTCCAGCAATTTGCCTTAAGGCATAAAGAATGTCCTCGACATTTTCGACAGACGGAATAACAGATTTGTATGATTGAAAAAACATTCAGTTCGTACTCGATCGCGAAACGTTTTTGCAAAAGGCACGTTTCGAAGGTATGGAACGTTTCGGAGGAATAGAGCGCAAAGGGTGTAAAATCAGTCATGCAGTTTTTGAAAGAACGGATCATCCGATTAGATTGATTCATAAAACCTTTTGCTTGTGTAAACGGTGCGGGTCAAAAAAATTTCAAAATTTTGAAAAAAAGTTAAAATCAAAAAATTCAAATTAAAAAAAAAAAAAAATTAACAAACATCTTGTAATTTCAGACTCATAAATTGTAGAATACGGTCGTCGCCCAATTTAATAAGCACTTATAAATTTACAGTATGTATTTAAAATATATAATAAACTATTTAAAATTATTTAAAACAATTATTGATTATTTTCATTTCTCGAATGTTTAATTACTGTAAAGAAAGTTTCAGCAATTTGCCTTAAGACATGATGCCATGCACCCCACTAGTTAATTTTTAAAATCGATTCAAGATTTTTGTTGATAAAATTTTTTACTCTTTTCTGCCAATTACAAAGAAATCACTTGACTGATAGTCACACAAAACTAAATAATCAGTGGTCTTTCTCAGGTTACACTATTTGTCTTTTAAATTTTTATTACTACTGATTTATTGATATTATACCTATACCCCATTTTACACAGTACTCATTTTACATATTTTCAATCTTACAAGGTTTTTGAAAATATTTTTTTTAACCAAATTTTCTAACTTGTGTTGACAAGTAATTATAAACACTGAACTTTAATTTGCTTATTTCTTCAATAACATTTTCATTGTTTTACTGTCAAAATACAACAATAAAAAATGTATGTTATGTAGAATTTATGTTAAAAGTTTATGTGAATAATAATATAACCGTTCATGCAGAAGGATAAAACAGACTGACTGATTATATATTCTTTAACTAATCACATGCATTACAATATTATTAACAATCACTTGTTTGACACAAAACAAAAGAAACTATAATATCAATAGCATCAGAATACATAACTATGAGCTATATCATTCACACACATACACACTTGTATTTTACATCAATAACAACATATTCAGAGAACACTCATACATAGACATAGTAGACACAGAACGTTTAGTATCAAACTTCAACACCCCCACTATACTAAACAACTTGTGTACTCATACCTGACAGCTTTAGAAACTGATGAAATGATGTCTCACATCAATGTGTTTTGATCTTTTGTGAAAAACTGGATTGTATGAGAGTTTTTGTGCTGACTTGTTATCATTGTAAATACGTACATTCTCATCTACATCCATTAATTCCATTAACAAATTTTTTAAGTATATCGCTGGAAGCATCTGATGTTGCCATATACTCGACTCCTGTACTTGACAATGCTACAGTTTTCTGTTTAGAGCTTTCCCAAGATATAATACTATTGGAGAATTTGAAACAGAAGCCTGTGTATGATTTTCTATCAACATTGTCACTTGCCCAGTCTGCATCTGTATATCCTACTAAATTTTCTGAATCGTTCTTAAATTTAAAAACATACACTCTCATCTATATCCGTTAATTCCATTAACAAACTTTTTAAGTATATCGCTTCTTTGGAAGCACCTGTCGTTGCCATGCACTCGGCCTCTGAAAATTGTTACACGCATATGTGACATGATCGTCAAACATTTTCTTCTTTCTTTTTCTTTTAGACTTTCGTGTTTTTATGACATTTTGTTCATGATCATTGCCAGCATTTTGATTCTTTTCTTCCATTACAGGCTGCATTTCATTAAACCCGACTGAAACACTGTTCACTACTGGTTCTATTGGGTTCTTGCTAGGCACATCTTCAATATTTTCTAGAATTTTTACTGCTCTTGATCCTTTGTGTTTGAATGGCAATCTAGTTTGCTTTCCTTTACAACAAACTATACAATTATTTATGTCTGATGTTGCCTTCTCGGATATGGTGAGTCCTTTCACTAAGCCTTTACTCGATTTACACAAATCTGTTTTATTTATATGTCCTGACCGTCTATGTCATATATTTCCTGACTTAGGATCTGTAACTAACAAACAATTAATATTATTTGTTATGAGTTTATATACTCCACCTGTAAGTACCGCCACTGCAACCAAAGTGTTATTTTTGTTATAAATTTTGCATTTATTATCATTGAATACAACCCTGTTACCCTTTCCGGTAAGAGCGCTAGCAGATAATAAATTAGCTGACAATTGTGGTACATAATGAGCATCCTGTACTTCAACATCATAAACTTGACCATAAACCTCTGTCCTAAGAGAAACGCTGCCACAAGACACTACTTTCATTTGGATATTGATAGCTGTCCTTACTTCCTGCACATCAGGTTTCTTGTTGTATTCTCTTAAACTGTTATTGTCATTCACAAGATGAATATTGGCTTCCGAATCAATATATCAATCTGTTTTATTGTATGTACCAGTTGAAAAAACTATGTTAAATGCATTTTCATCAGGCTCATTATTCACAGTATTGAAACGACATTTATTTTTATAATGGCCAAGTCGTTTGCATTTAAAACATCTAATTTCCTTTTTAGTATCAAAATTATTCGAGTTTAAATCTTGGCACTGCTTGTACCTGCCATTTTGTTTTGCTACAAAGGCGCTCTCATCATTATTAACCGCAACATCGTTTCCTATATCCAGCAGCTTCGTTTTTATTGCGTCCGTTGTAATGGCTATACCGGAATGCTCAATCGCCATAATCATCGTCGAAAACTTTTCTGGCAATCCTGCCAAGAGCAAAGAGCCTACCTACTCATCATCAATATTAAATCCCGCTCCCCTCAATCTCTGCCCTGTTTCTATTATTTGATTGACATATGAGCTCATTGATTCACAATTAATTAATCTAGTAGAAATTAATGTCCTTAAGAGATTAATTCTTCGAGTGAAACCTGAATCACTATAGCTGGGCTGAGGTTTTTGTTTCTTTTACATGTACATATAAACTTGTATCTAATGTTAATATCAATTTTGCTTTATCCTTGATCACATCAATTTCCCGTGCTGCCCCGTGCTTTGGCTCTACAATGCATTCTGCTAAATCTTCTAAGATTAGAAAATTTTCTGCTGCAAACGCCCAATCGTCATATGTTTCACGCCCTTTTAACTTCGGTACATTTACTAAGTATCCCGACGACATAATGATTAAAAAAGCACTAAACTCTTATTCAATAAACTTTAAAAACATGGGATCTGGGCCCATAACCTGTAGAATTTATGTTAAAAGTTTATGTGAATAATAATATAACTGTTCATGCAGAAGGATAAAAACAGACTGACTGATTATATATTCTTTAACTAATCACATGCATTACAAATATTATTAACAATCACTTGTTTCACACAAAACAAAAGAGAAACATATATACATAGACATAGTAGACACAGAGCGTTTAGTATCAAACTTCAACATGTTACAGTTGCAAGTTCTTAGTAGTTTATGCTATGATGGAAATATGTATATAAGACTGGAACTCACTGTTTTATGATCAAAACTAAATTTTATATGTGTATAAGCTAGTATGTTTGAAATACCAAAATAAAGAGCATCATTGTTTTTAAACTTTGTTTTAATTAGTATTTTGACATAATTGATAGCATAAATTTATTTAAAGTGGGTAAGTAGAATGATTTTTTACAAAATCTGTAAATTATAAAAAAAATTATTGTTCAACAAAGATGAAAATAAAAACTAGAGAGTAAAAAAGGTTATATCTTTACAAACCAATTTTTATTTTTATTTATTAAAAAAATGCAATATTTAAAATAGTTTTATTTTTAATTACCCAGTTTTTTATGGAACATATCTTCTGTGAAAACGGAGATAGGTATACATGAAAGGTTTATAACAACTAACATACATCAATAAGTACTTTTAAGCAGCATGCAATATTATTCAATAATAATCATCTCAAATAAAAAGTACCTCAATAATGTTGTAAGTCCTTGAGCTGTTACTTTACTTGATGTTTCTCTCTGTAGTAAATTTATCGTCTCATCAATTAAAACCTTTATACATGTAACTGCTTGAGATCCTATGTCACCTATCAATGATACAATTTTAACTCTAACTGCTGATTCGTTTTCTTTTAGATATTGTTCTCTCAATTTGAGTAAAATATCAGGAATATCTGACTCGTCAATTTGTAAACTGTCTGAAACCCGTAAAAGTAATTGCAATGATTCATTGCTACTTTTGCTTTGTTTTAAAAGATTTATATAAACTGCTCCAGAACTGCTATTAGATACAGATTTTCTTATTACTTTAATTTTATGAGGAGACGATTTTGCTGATTCCTGGGAAAAAATTGCAGACTTAAGATTGAAGAACATATTATTTATTATACTTCGTAGTAAATTTTGTTAGTCATTATTTTTATACAATTTAAATAAAATAAATCAGATGGATTTAACACTTTTAAATAAATACCTGTACAGTTTGCGAATATAAAGCCGAAGCTCTTTTTTTTAGTAAAGCTGTCATTTTAGAGATTTAAAAATCGTTTATAAATGTCTAAAGCAGATGTTAAATTATATCGAATACAGAATAAGCTTACAGAGAGCAATCAACATATATAAACATAAAACTAATCTCTACTAATTTGACAGGAAAAACCGCGTGCGGTCAGAGTCATTGTATTGAAGTTGTAAAACATAGATAAACAAGTAGAAATAGATCGCTATGTCTGGCGATTTGACGTTACCTCCATTGAAATACAAAATTTTAAAAATAGATAGCAGCACATGTATAATATTAAAATTAACCCCTTGTATTGCTTCTACACACTTCTACATTTGTACGTATCGTATACAGCCCCAAAAACCTGAATAATTTTTAATATTGGTGTAGGCGTAACACGTCGCTTCGTGTAGTAATGGCGGCCATTTTTTTTGACATGTCGGCCATTTTGTTGGTATTTCGAGTTAACTCATAAAGATGCATAAAAAATTCATGTATACCAACATAAAAATGTAAAAAACACTGGTACATAATGACAGTTCATAATGACAGTTACAATTATATTTTAGCACACATTTTTATTTTGACAAGTTAGAAGTTACCATATTCATATGGAATCAATATATTTATGCATATGCACATCAATATATCAAGTAATGTGTATTATAATTAATTTTTCTGTAGGATCATAATATTACGTAAAGGAATTAATGCTGTCACAGTATATAGTAGTAATCACATTTAGTCTAAAACTGCTTAAATGTAGTATCAAAAGTTTTATTTATGCAGGGTGCCGTAATATACAACTGTTTTATATATATATATATATATATATATATATATAATTATATATATATATAGTATAATAATATAAATAATTGTTCAAATTTTGATAGGACAAGACAGTTTTCGAATAAAACAGTTGTATATTACGATACCCTTCTACCCTGATATATATATATATATATATATATATATATATATATATATATATATTATATATACAGTAAACCCTCGCTTTACGCGGCAAGTGCGTACCGTGCAGTATAGGAACCGTGCTATAGAAACTCGTAACATACAATTCAGGCTAATTCGTAGTGCGTTCTATGGACCTTGCATAGTGCAGTATGGGGAACCGTGCTATGAGAGACTCAGAGTTGGTACAATCGCACCATTTTTATCGCGTTTTATGGAGACAAGAAATACAACTTGAAGTAGGAGAAATACGGACGAAATGACATGAAGGACATTGACACCTTATTCAAAAATTGGCGCGACGCAGTAGTCAGCTCAAACGTGTTCTTAGACGGCTTTATACAATCAGGCATGTCTAAAAGATAAAGTCGATAACAAAATTTACATCCCTTTTGCACAACGAACAATACCCTTTTGCACAATGAACTTATGGCTGTTGACCAAATAACGTGTAATAAGAAGTCCGTGTAGTCGGAGGGATGTCGGATTTTTAGCTACGTGTAGTATGGGAACCGTGTACCCAGAGTGCGTTTAAAGCGAGGGCCTACTGTATATAGAATTTTATGATATGAGTGGAACGAATATAATTGTTTAATATGAACAAAACAGCACTCAGATTTGTTTAACACAACTTTATTTTATGATTACAGACGTTTCGAGACTATGGTGTGTCTCATCTTCAGTGTAATTTCAAAAACAGTTACTTATATACTACACATTCTTTAATAACTTATTTAAATTTCATTCATTTTTTTGTATACCAAAAATTAAATGAAATTTAAATAAGTTATTAAAGAATGTGTATATAAGTAACTGTTTTGAAATTACACTGAAGATGAGACACACCATGGTCTCGAAACGTCTGTAATCATAAAATAAAGTTGTGTTAAACAAATCTGAGTGCTGTTTTGTTCATATTAAACAATTAATATATATATAATATATATATATAGATATATATATATTATACAGCTACAAATATTGCATATATTAAATATATAATATATATATATAATATATATATATATATTATATATATATATATATATATTATATATATATATATATATATAAAAATAGTTAATATATGTGTGTAAATGAATTTCCTTTTGATCGATAAGGTGGAATTCTGTAAATAAGATGTCAAATAAAGTTTTGTGTAGGAATTAGGAATTATCTATTATACTATATAGTACATATGGTCAATAAGACACTAAAAATTTTAATGATCGAATAATTAAACCTAATTTTTGTTAACAAAATAAAAGTGTACTTTAAACCTGCATTAACATAAACTTTACCATTGTTTCGATCAGCATGAATATGACTTTCTATAATTGAAAATATGTTGATAAACTATCATAGCCATCGACTCAAATAAAACTATTGATTGTAATAAAAAATTTATTGAAATTATAAAACATATCAATATACATTTATTTACAACCTATTTCCATCATGGTTTTAAAAAATTGAGAAACATATTTATGCAAATAAAGCAAATAACATTCATATTTAATCATTCAGATATTTAAATCATTTGACATTATATATAAAGAATGCATGTTATGACACAAGACAAAGCTATATAATTATTTACAATTTGAAACACGCTTCCTAAGATAAGTAAAAGAAGTTATTAAGTAATGGCTTAATATATTTAAGCAAGTAAATCACAATATTTCCGAATGGTTGTACTTCATTTTTTGAGATCTCTCAGTCTAATTGAAATTCAAACCACTCAAAATTGAAGTTAAATAAAATATAACAGTTCAAGTTTTTATATATAAACGCCATCGTAGTTGATTAAGCTTAAGACTTTTTTAATATTTGCCAATATGTTTAAAATCTTATTCAATGTACAATTATACACTTATTACATAATTGATATTTATTTTGTTATTTGCAATTACTCCATTCTATATGGTTTTGATTTATAATTCTCGATCTATATCCATCAATATTTTGCATTATAATTAAAAACAAGGTAATATGAATTGCAATATTTAATACACCTGTATTTTTCCACAATACACAATGGGACAGGTAATTTGAAGAGCCCCTGAAGAACCTGTAAATTAACAATTATTGTAATTTTTGTGGATGTAATTCTAAATTATATTTATATTTTTATACCTGTAAAAACTAGTAGTTGAGAGTGCAGCTGTACAATAAAATGTATTGTGGTCTGGGTCTCGTCGGGGTTGTTTGTAAGAATGTGGGCGATGAATAATAGAATGTTGAAGGAATAGGTGAAGAACAAAATATATGTATGAAATAATGTTAAAGGAATTAGTGAAGAAGGCAGAGCATAAGAATGATATGCAAGGGATGTTCTCGGATTAATTCTGAAATTATTGGAAATGTGCAGTGGATAATGGAGTCTATCGAAGATATATTAGGAATTGAGGTATGAAAGGTTTTGATGTACCATTGCAATGAGAAAATAGTATGTAGTATCTTTGGGCAAAATATGCATTTAAAATATTTGTAAAACTGTTTAGGCTGTTGCCATGTACCAATCTGTTGTGCCAAGAAAGTTAACAATTGCACTAAAAAGTTTTGAAGCAATGATTACATTGCTTCTGCACTTTCTCGTTGAATAAAAAAAGTGACCTAACCTAGCATAATCTATTATTAAAAGACAATTCATGTAAACCTAACGCAACGTAACCTATTATTAAAAGATAACTTATGTAAAGAATAGAATCTAGTAAACAATGTAACTAAAAACGTATTAAATCATTGCTATTGAAAAATACCTAACCTATAAAGCAAGTAAAAGTAATGAAAACATAATCTAAGCAAATAAATATTTTATTGATAATTACGGCGAACACACGATTAACTAAAAAATATACTAAAAAATATGAATAGTTCACAAAATAATAAAAACAAAATAGTAAAAGAAGAAACTACCAAAAACACGCCGCAAAAAGAATGGATGAACTGCTGGAGAGGCGAGAGGAACAAATAACCACGAATAAAACATAATAACGCTAAAACCCCATCGAGCATGCAGCAAAAAGTGAAACACTTCTGACATATAATGCGGCAAACTTCAGACTTCTTTTAGGTTAACTGAGTATGCTGAGCTATGTCAAACATGTGTCAAACGGTGTGAACCATCACTGTAAATGATACTCCTGTAGGCGTATGGCAACGTCGCTATGTTATGCTGCGTCCCCACTGCACGAATCCGTGCGGCGAATCCTGTTCGCGACGCACGCATGCGTTGGCTCTTGTGCGCGACGCACACTGCCAGCAATTTGATACATTTGAAATTTTTAGGATTCCATAATATTTTTTTTCTTGATACAGTTCAATTATAAGAAGTGTAAAGAAGTATAACATCTTCTCTACGCATATCCTTTTTCAAAATTGAGGATAAGATGAAATATCTCAATGCCTTCACTGTACAATTGAACTTATACCGTAGCACAGATCAACGTTTACGTTCAAATTCAAGTTACAAGTTCAAAGAAATAACGTATACGGATACAGAGGCAGGCTGACCAATAATTATCAGTTTTGAATAAAATTATTACTTCTGTTCTAAATATAAATACTTGTCAGAAAAGACTTTGAGCAAAATTCAGTCTGCATATTAATAAGATTTTAAATGATATTTAGCGTAATTGCAAATAATACAATATTACCATTTTTTTTGAAACATTTAATTTATTTTTGAATAATAAATAATGATACGTCATATAAGTAGTAAGAGTATATATATATATATAATATATATATATTATATATAACATATATATATAGATATATATATATATATATATATAGATATATATCATATATATATATATATATATATATATACTGATAATATCATGATGATATAAAATTAACCTGAAATATGATAAATAAAGTCTACCAAAATATATTTTAGTTGGATATACATATATTTCAACATATCTATAACTTAATTACCGATGTATTTCCTATACTAATAGTTAGATACAATTATAATTAGTACATCAATTTTAATGACTGCTTACTTATTTACATTTTTGATCCGCGCTTTGACGCTAATCCATTAGTGTCGGTTCGGGTATTCTCGGCAGCCCGATGCGTCGGGTTGCTCGCGGCGGGAGCGAGCGCCGCGAACGCAAGCTATTGAAATTTTCGT